GCCCTGCCCTGCGCCCCGGCCGTTCGGGCCTCCGCGCGATGGGGAGGCTGGGGCTGGACGAGGCGGCCCTGGGGGGCGCCCCGGGACTCCACGGTCGCTCACCTAGGGTGGGCTTCTCCGACATGGAGGAGGAAGGGACGAAGCTCGGGTGCGGGCGGGGCCGGGGGACCACTTTGGGGAAGTCGGTGTAGCCCGACCGGGTGCAGAGCTCGGCGAAGTCGGTCTCCAGGACCCCGGTGCACTGGTACTCCTCTGCGCGCGGGGGGGAGACAGGGGCGCCGGCGCGGCCTCAGCGTGGGCGGGCCCCGCTCGGAGGCGCAGCGTCTCACCGACGTTTTAAAAGGTAAGATGCGTTGTAAAGACCCCACGCTGAAAACTGGGAAATCAAGTCCCGGGAGAAAGGACTACAGGGAGTGGACACGGGCTGGCTCCTCCACCGCCCAACCGGTCAAGGCACTGCCACGGGCTCTCCGCTCCCTAGGGGCCTCCACCTTCCCCAGAGTGTCCCTAGCCCAGCCTTCTCCCTTGTCCCTTCCTCGCTGGGGCTACCCAGGGTCACAGGGAGAAAGAAGCCCCAGGCCTGATGTGAGCAAAACCAGGAACCACCCAGGAGCACCCCTTCACTCCCATTCCCAGTCCACATACCCTGAAGTCCAGAGCAGCTGGCTTTTATTTATTTAGCAAACATTTATACAGCATTTACTCCTGTCCGGCACTGTTCAAATTCTTTAGAAATATCAACTCATTCAAGCACTGTATGAGTTCAGACAGATGCCCACCACCGCATCCCACTACTCAAACCTGAGGTGTTGAGTCCCCAGAGACCCTGCTTTTTCCTGCTCCTCCCTGGGCATCCAGGAAGAAGTGGTTTCTGAAGATGGGAAGGGTGCCCCTGGCGAATGGGAGAACCTGGAGGCAGAGGGCTGGCTTGGTGCCAGCCTACTCTTCCAAGTGCCCAGCGGCCTGGAGCCCCCACAGCAGCAAGACCCCCGATGCAGGCAGCTGCTGCAGGGATTGTGCCCAGAGAGAACTGCAGCTAACAGCAGGAGCCTGCCTGAGGGTGTGGAGGGACTAGGAGGACATGTGCTCAGCAAGTGCAGGATGCAAAAAGGTTTGGGGTTCCTGCAGAACAGGGGTAAGGCACATAAATGTTCCTCATGTACCCAGCCATGGGGGGACAAAAACACACAAGAAACATTGGCTGATCGACAAGGCAGGTGAGAGGAGGTACAGGTACCCTTTGTCCAGCTGACTCCTGCACACCACCTGCTTTCCTGGTGTTCCCTCTGCTGGGAGAGCCCTCAACCCTTCCTTGCTTCACTCACTCCACCTTTCTCTACAACAGGGATTCTCAAACTCTAAGAATCACCAGGAGAGCCTGTTAAAACAGTTTCTTGGGCCCCATCTGCAGAGATCCTGATCCCATAGGCTGGGTGGAGTCCATTACTTTGCATTTCTAACAGTCTCACGGATGTTGACCAAGCTGCTGGTCCACCTACAGTACCTTGAGAACTGCTGCTCTAGAACAGAGCTGCCCAAAAGAACTTAGTGTGACATTGGAAATGTTCTATGTCTGCGACCCGGAGGAAAGTGCAGCACTTGGGGCTGGCTCCCACTCTCCTCCACTCCCACGTTCCTTCCCCAGGCTCACCAATGACCTGGTCTCATAGTTTCTGGAGACACAGAAGCTACCAGATGGGATTTCCTCTACATCTATAAACCTTCCTACATCTGCCCCCACTCTCCCGCATACCCTATTCCAGCTACCACTGTCCTTCACCTGGACTGTTGAAATATCTCATACCCCACCTCTCTGCCTCCATGCTTGTTGAATGAACAAATGAATTTGCAATCTACAAAACACCACTTTGCCATCAGCCCCATTGTTCCTCACCTCAATAGGCAGGGCACTTCCATACTACAGAGAAGAAACGTGCCCAAGGCCACACACCTAATGATGGTTACCACTTTTAACACTTACCATGTGCCAGGAGCTAGCTACATTCACACACTGAACTTCAGCAGGTGGAGCTCTTTCCATACAGCACTTTTTTGCACCAGAAATTCTATTATTATTTCCTGGCTCGTCTGTCTCACCCACCAGAGCATCTTTCTGCACCTCCTGTTCAGTGCCTGGCACAACAGCGCACCATCCAGCCTGGCTAACCCCGGCCACAAGAGGCTGGTGGCAGCACACAGAGCCTCGAGGCCTCGAGTCCTGATCCCCCAACCCCGCCGCCAGCGTACCAGGGTTTTTGGGCTCCTCCTCGCCCACCGGCGGCAGCACAATCGCTGGCTTCTCCTTGGCCGCGCGATCCCCCTTCTTGGCCACTGTGCCAGACGATTTTTGGGTCCCCGGCCGCTGGGCCCTCGGTGAGACTCCCTGCGCGCTGGGCTCACTGGACATGTTGGTGCCGTCCGCAGAGACGCTGGGACCCTCACGGGGGCGAGGAAGCAGGACGAGCGGCGATTCTGCAGGCGGTGACCAATTCAGGGGTCTCTATTCCGCGTCCACCAGCCTGGCGTGTCCGCAGTGGCGTCGCCTGCGTGTCCCTCTCCATGACAACGACGCCAGCTGGGCGGGCCCGCGGAAAGGGGCAACCGCAGAGCGCACGCGAACCAACAGGGGGCGCCGCAGACTCATAGCAGGGGTGGGGCCGAACCCGCGGGGCGAGGTGT